AAGTACATTACCTTAAGATTGCTGGTTTTAATCCCACGCGACTCGTTCGAGGCATTTCTGAAGCGTGATAAACATTCTCAAGCTCAACCGCTCCACCGACTCTGTCATTGAGTTTCGCCTGTTTCTATTCGTTTACTCGTGGGAGTGATTTTTTTTTTTTTTTTTTTGCAGAAATAACCTCACTCCCGGGTTCCGGGGTTGTCGCGTCGGAAAGGGGGGAAAATTTAATTGCGTCAACAGTTTTTACGTGATGATGCGCGCAATTACTCGGAGCTAAACACTCATCTCAGGTGCCTTCCACAGACACAGGATGTGTCTCATATCCTATAGTGACCTGACTGCACAGACGGCATGCCTGGCCATTACAGCTGCGTTCAGTCAGATGAACCGACATGAAACTGGCATAGAACGCAACTGTAGCCTAATGTACGAAGTGCTGTCTAGTTAGGCAGCTCCGTCGCATAATAGACTCATTGTTTATCTACCTGTTGGGACTAAGGGTAATTATGTATGTGATGTACGCATAAGTAAACATTTAAGGTTTCCTCAGTGAAATTGTTCACAGCGTTTGGACCGAGCGCAAAGGAAAGGACGCGTTTCAAACTGTTGCACTCCTCGAATACTCACACTTTGGTGTCCTATTTTTGTGAGACTAGATATGTTTGGTAAACTGTTATTTAACATAAATTTAAAGGGGGGGGGGGGGGATCCCATCCCATCCCATCCCATATTTGATCCAACCCTGTTACTGCATGATTTCCTCAGTTACAAAAAAATTAACATTGCTTAGAATTGTGACAGCCAAGTCATAACTTAGACACTTTATATGGCAGGACAATTGGTCTAAATCTAATCTCTTTTCTCAGTTTTTAGCTTCACTCATCAAGTTCAAACTTCAGCTCTCAGTACTGAAATAAGATTTGTTGTTGAAGTTATTGAAAGAAGACCAAACAAGTATTTTGTCTTGAAATCTATGGGAAATATGTTTATCAGTAACTATAACTCAACATTTGGTGCTAAATTAGCTGGAGAGATCAAGTGGCATCTCAAGATATGCTGCAACCCCTTTACCCATTCTGGCATAATTATTTAAATTTTTTTTATGATTTTTGTATGTTTAATTTTTATGTTAATTTATTCTGAGAGCTAGAAAAACAGTTTTAAACTTTATGCATGTCATGAATTTACTCGTCATTTACTAAAACCGACTCCAGAGATTATTTAAAAAAAGCTTTATTACAAAGAGTTCAGGTTTTGGAAAACAGCTTTCTCTAAACAGGCTTCTATCATTCACAATAAACTTAACATTAAGTGTAAAAGGTTGTTAGGGTATTTACTCCTTACATCAAACACACAATATCTTACAGGCACTGATCTATGTTCATGTGCAGTAGTGTATAAAAACAACTGTTTATCTAAAATCATTTAACCAGTAGTTGTGCACATTCAAACAGGAGACTGTCTGATCCAAATATATTTCTATGAAGATACACCATTGCCTTTGGTGATCAGCTCTTGCCTTTGACTTGTGAAAGCCCCTGCAGACCATCAGAAGTTGGAGATGGTGACATGAGATGGCAGAAAAGCACCACTGACAAGGAACAATGGGTGCTAGGTTGGTGACATGAGTGAGGGATTCCAGGATTCCATGGGCTTTTTTACCTACATACTTCTCTTACGAAAAATAAAAATTATAATCAGACTACGTTCTTCCAGTGTTCAACATCATCAGACTTAACCAATCAATCACGCAAAACAAAAAAGCAGTTTTGGAAAAATGAGGCATACACTTGCATACACACACTTCAAAACAACAACACAAACAAGTGTCATTAATTGTCTCAAGGACATTAATAAATAAACCAATAAAAGAACAGTTGTGCAGTGTTATAAAATGAATGTGTTGGAAAAACAAAACTAAACAAACCAAAAAAAAAACACCAAACTAAACTTCAATTTCTTTTTAGTACTATTTTAAATGCTTGTGTGAAACTTGCCAACATGTCCAGCACTCCAGATTCCCCCTCAAAACCGATTCCTGATACATTCTTCCACCTTATATCACAAGGTAGGTGCTTTCTTATTCTCATGTCCAATGATCTTCTGTCCGTCTCTCTTTCTGGCTCAGTGTTGCGTGCTTCTGAACGCAGTCTGAGCCAAACCCAGGTCCTACAGCGAATACATGGTCACCCACAAGAAGCAGAAAAGAGCAGATTGTTTGGTATGTCAGCAGGGAGCGAATGAGAGAGAGGCCGCTTCCCGTAATGGGTCCCTATGAGGCTGTCTCGGTGATGGACCTGCAACTGTCCTGCGCCTCCTAAAGATGGATGCAGTCGCTACTCAGTAATTACGCTGGGAGTGGCTCCTAGCACACAGCCCAACGTTTGTTTTCCACATTCAGAATAGAACGTGAACTGGCCTGCCATGGAGCTGTGGAGAGCTGCGGAAATCAATGGCATTCAATTGGATACGAAGGGAGAAAATACATTCAAGTGCCCCATACATTAGTTTTCAGGTCAGTGTGAACATGTGCAAGACCTTCAAATGCAACTGGTGCCTTTGAAGCACCTAGAGAAACTTAGAGAGGAAGGACATGACCAGTCTCCCAGAGCTGCCTGGGGATTTTATTTGTTAACGGTGCAGTTTCATATGTGTTTCTTAACCAAGTCTGAGGTTCTACACACAGCCGTACTCATACCAAACAGTCTGAGGGTCATTGTTGGGGTCTGGAGAAGCAGGCTTGCTGGTGGGCTGCTCCTTGGTGGCGTAGCTTAAGTCCGCAGTGTCTGCTTTCTTCAACACAGGCGACTCTGCCTGCCTTTGCTCCCGAGGTTCCTCCTCCAAATCCTTCAGCCTCAGCGCCGATATGGCTCGCACCGGAGACACCATGGCCACCTCACCACGATGGGGGGCTGCTTGGGTTTGAGCAGGTCCAGAACGGACCGCTCCTGCCCTGCTGCTACCGCTCCCAATGTATTCCCGTTCAGCCTGCAATGACATAGACGAACAGTGCACTGGAGGCGGACTAGCTAGGGACAACTCATCTCTCGGTGGAGCGAGAGATAAACGGCGGGGGTCCACGGATATGTGCCCTGGGTCTCCAGGCAGCGGCGAAGAACCAGCCAGCCTAGCGGACATCGGTCTTTCTCTGTTGACTACTCCAGACCTCCTCACCACCACTTCGTTTTGGCTGGGAGAATTTGCCTCGTTACGGTAAGTATCCGGCCCGTTGGAGCAGAGGAGGTCTGCGGAGGCCAGGCTAAATGTACGACTCAGGCTGGTGCTGCTGCCCACACCTCCGCGAGGACTGGACTGCTGCAAAGGTGCAGACCTCAGTCCTGCTCCTCTGTTAGGAAGGGTTTGCGAATGAGAAGGAGGTGTGGCGGTCTCCGTGAGCCGAACGCTCGGTTTGACACTGTGTCCAGGTTTTGGGACCCGACCATCTAGTTCTGGTGGAGTAGTCTTGATGGTTGGCGTGACATAATTGGTGGGGGTTTTAGCGCCATCTCGCAGAGGGACAGGTCGAGTAGATCTGGTGAAATAATCAGTCATCAGATCCTCTCGACTTCCTGTCTGCACCTGAAAGACATTTAAATCATCATAAATATTTTTGCAAAAAGCATTTGGTTTTAACTGTGCCCCAATTCCAGTATTGGAAAAATTGCCAAACATTTAATTAAAATGTTATGAAAATGGTAACTTTAGTATAGGGACCAATTCTCACTATTAACTAGTTGCTTATTAGCATGCCTATTATTAACATAGTGGATAATTATTAGTACTTATAAATCACATATTCTGCATGACCATATTCTACATCCCTAATCCTACCCAATACCTGAACTTAGCAACTTCCTTACTAACTATTAATAAGCAGCAAATTAGGAGTTTATTGAGGCAAAGTCATAGTTAATGGTTTGTTAATAGCGAGAATTGCACCTTAAAATAAAGTGTGACCATGAAAATGTACTAGAAAATATTGCTTCATAATCCTTTATATTACTAATAATACTTTATTCCAACAGTGGGGATACAAATTGTTAGATATATGTCTATATTAAACAAAAAAACATTTTATTCTCACTGTTAAAACTAAGGACTAACTGAATAAAGAATTGTTAATTGAATAAAATAACTGCAATTAATGTTGTGGCTTAAATATGACAGTAAATAATAATGTGTATATAAATAAAAAGAAATAAGGTGTTAAAAACTATTTTAAAACATTTATATATTTTATAAACTTTGGCAACTCAAAGAAATAATGATTTTTTCCCACTGACCCCCAAACATCCCTTATTGCTAGAAATCATTGTTTTAAAATGATTCCCCCCAGATTTGTCAAACTTGAGATTTGTTCATAAACATTGGAATCCTTTGCATGCATTTCTTATCATTTGCGCCATGTCTTACAACAGAAACATATTGAAATCTACTGTATTTCAGTAAAAGATAGAGATGATGGTGAAGGTCCATCACTTGAGCAGGTCCAGAACGGACCGCTCCTGCCCTGCTGCTACCGCTCCCAATGTATTCCCGTTCAGCCTGCAATGACATAGACGAACAGTGCACTGGAGGCGGACTAGCTAGGGACAACTCATCTCTCGGTGGAGCGAGAGATAAACGGCGGGGGTCCACGGATATGTGCCCTGGGTCTCCAGGCAGCGGCGAAGAACCAGCCAGCCTAGCGGACATCGGTCTTTCTCTGTTGACTACTCCAGACCTCCTCACCACCACTTCGTTTTGGCTGGGAGAATTTGCCTCGTTACGGTAAGTATCCGGCCCGTTGGAGCAGAGGAGGTCTGCGGAGGCCAGGCTAAATGTACGACTCAGGCTGGTGCTGCTGCCCACACCTCCGCGAGGACTGGACTGCTGCAAAGGTGCAGACCTCAGTCCTGCTCCTCTGTTAGGAAGGGTTTGCGAATGAGAAGGAGGTGTGGCGGTCTCCGTGAGCCGAACGCTCGGTTTGACACTGTGTCCAGGTTTTGGGACCCGACCATCTAGTTCTGGTGGAGTAGTCTTGATGGTTGGCGTGACATAATTGGTGGGGGTTTTAGCGTCATCTCGCAGAGGGACAGGTCGAGTAGATCTGGTGAAATAATCAGTCATCAGATCCTCTCGACTTCCTGTCTGCACCTGAAAGACATTTAAATCATCATAAATATTTTTGCAAAAAGCATTTGGTTTTAACTGTGCCCCAATTCCAGTATTGGAAAAATTGCCAAACATTTAATTAAAATGTTATGAAAATGGTAACTTTAGTATAGGGACCAATTCTCACTATTAACTAGTTGCTTATTAGCATGCCTATTATTAACATAGTGGATAATTATTAGTACTTATAAATCACATATTCTGCATGACCATATTCTACATCCCTAATCCTACCCAATACCTAAACTTAAATACCTTCCTAACTATTAATAAGCAGTAAATTAGGAGTTTATTGAGGCAAAGTCATAGTTAATGGTTTGTTAATAGCGAGAATTGCACCTTAAAATAAAGTGTGACCATGAAAATGTACTAGAAAATATTGCTTCATAATACTTTATATTACTAATAATACTTTATTCCAACAGTGGGGATACAAATTGTTAGATATATGTCTATATTAAACAAAAAAACATTTTATTCTCACTGTTAAAACTAAGGACTAACTGAATAAAGAATTGTTAATTGAATAAAATAACTGCAATTAATGTTGTGGCTTAAATATGACAGTAAATAATAATGTGTATATAAATAAAAAGAAATAAGGTGTTAAAAACTATTTTAAAACATTTATATATTTTATAAACTTTGGCAACTCAAAGAAATAATGATTTTTTCCCACTGACCCCCAAACATCCCTTATTGCTAGAAATCATTGTTTTAAAATGATTCCCCCCAGATTTGTCAAACTTGAGATTTGTTCATTGGAATCCTTTGCATGCATTTCTTATCATTTGCGCCATGTCTTACAACAGAAACACATTGAAATCTACTGTATTTCAGTAAAAGATAGAGATGATGGTGAAGGTCCATCACTCAGTGTCTCCATTATGAACATATCACACAGCACTCAAAGACATTATCTTAATAATCCCCAATTAGCAAACAACAATCCATAGTGCAGGGTCAAACATCAGACGTAATTTAATTAGGAGCATAAATGTCTCTACTGATCATGAGTTAAATATAAAAAAAATCCCTTTTGCTATTCTCACTGCATAAATATGCACACATAATCTTGATATGTTAAAAAAGATACAGGATAATTCAACGATGTGAGATTCACCACACATTTTTAAATCCCCTGCAAATGTATGCAAATTATTCTAGTAATGTGTCATTAATTCTTCAAAAGGTCAAACCATCAAACAAACAAGTCTGCTGAAAAGTGCTAAAACGTTGTTAGTATTAAAACAACTTACAGTGGGTGGGGACAGGGCGTTACTCTCATGCAAGAACTCCTCCAGGCTGACCATTTCGCTGCCAGGAGAGGATGGCCGCTGAGAGGTGGGCCGCTGGGAAGAGCGTGAAGCAGACAGGGCATCACAGGGAAGGGTGGAGCTACGAGGAATCAGAGATGACTGACTGAGACGTGAGCCTTCATGTCCCAGTCCGACAACATCATCACTGGACAGACTGGCAGATCGGCCCTGCAGGCAGTCCAGAGAACCTGGAGGAAGACAGGAAATTAAAACATGAACTGTAAAATTTAAGTGTGTAAGATTTCATAAAAATGTGCACTTTAAAAAATACAGGTAATGAAATAAATTTTACTGTAGTGTGAACAATTTGATGTGTTCAGAGCATTTATAAACATGATGCTATGTGGTTTTTAAGGAGTTATCGGTAGTAACTAGTTACTAGGGCATTGCTAGGTGGTTGCTTACTGGCCCAACTCAAAAGAGACCATATCATTCATCCATGGTATTCTGGTCTGTAGATATGGATCAGGGTTCTTCAGTGCAAATCTATATGATTTTTTCTGCATAGTTTATTATCCACCAAATAAAAGTGTGATGGCTTTGCAATGTCCCTACTATGTGCTGAACCTAATGTTACGGGCATGTTCAAATCTCAAATTCTTCATATGAGCAACAGTAATTCCCTTGAAATGACAAGGACGGAGCATAATGAGTGTATCAACGTGCACTTGTAGTTTCCTTCAAGTTTTAACAGTATTTTCAGAATGTGTTCACACTTGTAGTTTGGTTCTCTTTGTTCTTTTGGTCCGAACCAACAAGAAAAATCATACATTTAGTCCTGGTTTGTTTAGCGTTCACAAGAACCAAGGGGCTTTTATGACATATATTTTTGCTGAACATCCAAAACAATGCGCTTATTGTATATGCGTACATATTATGGTACTTTTACCTTTACCAGAGCTTATAAAATGTGTCAAAACAGCAGCAGGAATTCCTCTGTCACACAAACAAACAAAGATCTGCTGCAAAGAGATGTGGATCTGTACTGAACTGTAATGAAAAACATCGCCACTATGGCGAGACAAAAACAGGTATTCTTTAATAAAACCAAACATGCCAAGTGTGAATACACCCTCAAAAACTGCCATTTTAATTCAATAAAAGGCTATTTAAGTATACGTAAAGATGGCTTTAATTACAATTTTTCACTAGGGTAGTGATGCTTGCCTTGTCAAACACCACTAATAAAAAAAAAGGAAGGAAGGAAGAGCTTTCACAACCAACACATTTTTGAGTCTAAAGAGTTCATAAGAAAACACATGACACTAATAGCTTGCACTATTATGAAGTAATCTCTCATTAATGATGGAAATAATGCAAGATGTTTATCATTAAATGCACATCATCTTTTTTATCTTTTGTTCGCAAGCACCACAAATCCCACTGCCACACCAGTCAGAAAATTGAGTCGCCAAATGAGTAAACTGTCTCGAAGGTCATTATAAGGGTATTCTCACATAGTCACAGACCATTGACTAAATGGCAAAAGGACTGGCCCATAGCTTTTTCTGGTCAAAAAACACCCACTTAGAGAGAAAGACAGCATGTAAAGTTGCTATCCAATTATATGACTTTTTATGTTCCATTTGTAGTGATTGGTTAATCTGAAATATACCCTGGAGTTTGGTTTTGGTAAGATTTTTAAAATCTTTTTGAAAGTCGTCTGTTATGCTCACCAAGGCTGCCTTTATTTGCGCAATACAAATAAAACAGTAGCATTGTGAAATATTAGTACAATTTAAAATAACTGCTTTCCATTTTAATATACGTTTAGAATGTAATTTAATCCTGTGATACAAAGCTGAATTTTCAGCATCATTACTCCAGTATTCAGTGTCACATGATCCTTCAGAAATCATTCTAATTTGCCAATCTGTTGCTCAAGAAACATTTCTTATTATCAAAGCTGAACACAGCAGTGCTTTTTAATATGTTAGTGGAAACCATGATACAGTTTTTCAGGATTCTTTGATGATTACACGCATCCTTGATGATTAATTTCTTTATAAATAAAATCTTACTGAGCCCAAACTTTTGAAAAGCAGTATTATACCAAAATTAGGAGTTTATTGAGGCAAAGTCATAGTTAATGGTTTGTTAATAGCGAGAATTGCACCTTAAAATAAAGTGTGACCATGAAAATGTACTAGAAAATATTGCTTCATAATACTTTATATTACTAATAATACTTTATTCCAACAGTGGGGATACAAATTGTTAGATATATGTCTATATTAAACAAAAAAACATTTTATTCTCACTGTTAAAACTAAGGACTAACTGAATAAAGAATTGTTAATTGAATAAAATAACTGCAATTAATGTTGTGGCTTAAATATGACAGTAAATAATAATGTGTATATAAATAAAAAGAAATAAGGTGTTAAAAACTATTTTAAAACATTTATATATTTTATAAACTTTGGCAACTCAAAGAAATAATGATTTTTTCCCACTGACCCCCAAACATCCCTTATTGCTAGAAATCATTGTTTTAAAATGATTCCCCCCAGATTTGTCAAACTTGAGATTTGTTCATAAACATTGGAATCCTTTGCATGCATTTCTTATCATTTGCGCCATGTCTTACAACAGAAACATATTGAAATCTACTGTATTTCAGTAAAAGATAGAGATGATGGTGAAGGTCCATCACTCAGTGTCTCCATTATGAACATATCACACAGCACTCAAAGACATTATCTTAATAATCCCCAATTAGCAAACAACAATCCATAGTGCAGGGTCAAACATCAGACGTAATTTAATTAGGAGCATAAATGTCTCTACTGATCATGAGTTAAATATAAAAAAAATCCCTTTTGCTATTCTCACTGCATAAATATGCACACATAATCTTGATATGTTAAAAAAGATACAGGATAATTCAACGATGTGAGATTCACCACACATTTTTAAATCCCCTGCAAATGTATGCAAATTATTCTAGTAATGTGTCATTAATTCTTCAAAAGGTCAAACCATCAAACAAACAAGTCTGCTGAAAAGTGCTAAAACGTTGTTAGTATTAAAACAACTTACAGTGGGTGGGGACAGGGCGTTACTCTCATGCAAGAACTCCTCCAGGCTGACCATTTCGCTGCCAGGAGAGGATGGCCGCTGAGAGGTGGGCCGCTGGGAAGAGCGTGAAGCAGACAGGGCATCACAGGGAAGGGTGGAGCTACGAGGAATCAGAGATGACTGACTGAGACGTGAGCCTTCATGTCCCAGTCCGACAACATCATCACTGGACAGACTGGCAGATCGGCCCTGCAGGCAGTCCAGAGAACCTGGAGGAAGACAGGAAATTAAAACATGAACTGTAAAATTTAAGTGTGTAAGATTTCATAAAAATGTGCACTTTAAAAAATACAGGTAATGAAATAAATTTTACTGTAGTGTGAACAATTTGATGTGTTCAGAGCATTTATAAACATGATGCTATGTGGTTTTTAAGGAGTTATCGGTAGTAACTAGTTACTAGGGCATTGCTAGGTGGTTGCTTACTGGCCCAACTCAAAAGAGACCATATCATTCATCCATGGTATTCTGGTCTGTAGATATGGATCAGGGTTCTTCAGTGCAAATCTATATGATTTTTTCTGCATAGTTTATTATCCACCAAATAAAAGTGTGATGGCTTTGCAATGTCCCTACTATGTGCTGAACCTAATGTTACGGGCATGTTCAAATCTCAAATTCTTCATATGAGCAACAGTAATTCCCTTGAAATGACAAGGACGGAGCATAATGAGTGTATCAACGTGCACTTGTAGTTTCCTTCAAGTTTTAACAGTATTTTCAGAATGTGTTCACACTTGTAGTTTGGTTCTCTTTGTTCTTTTGGTCCGAACCAACAAGAAAAATCATACATTTAGTCCTGGTTTGTTTAGCGTTCACAAGAACCAAGGGGCTTTTATGACATATATTTTTGCTGAACATCCAAAACAATGCGCTTATTGTATATGCGTACATATTATGGTACTTTTACCTTTACCAGAGCTTATAAAATGTGTCAAAACAGCAGCAGGAATTCCTCTGTCACACAAACAAACAAAGATCTGCTGCAAAGAGATGTGGATCTGTACTGAACTGTAATGAAAAACATCGCCACTATGGCGAGACAAAAACAGGTATTCTTTAATAAAACCAAACATGCCAAGTGTGAATACACCCTCAAAAACTGCCATTTTAATTCAATAAAAGGCTATTTAAGTATACGTAAAGATGGCTTTAATTACAATTTTTCACTAGGGTAGTGATGCTTGCCTTGTCAAACACCACTAATAAAAAAAAAGGAAGGAAGGAAGAGCTTTCACAACCAACACATTTTTGAGTCTAAAGAGTTCATAAGAAAACACATGACACTAATAGCTTGCACTATTATGAAGTAATCTCTCATTAATGATGGAAATAATGCAAGATGTTTATCATTAAATGCACATCATCTTTTTTATCTTTTGTTCGCAAGCACCACAAATCCCACTGCCACACCAGTCAGAAAATTGAGTCGCCAAATGAGTAAACTGTCTCGAAGGTCATTATAAGGGTATTCTCACATAGTCACAGACCATTGACTAAATGGCAAAAGGACTGGCCCATAGCTTTTTCTGGTCAAAAAACACCCACTTAGAGAGAAAGACAGCATGTAAAGTTGCTATCCAATTATATGACTTTTTATGTTCCATTTGTAGTGATTGGTTAATCTGAAATATACCCTGGAGTTTGGTTTTGGTAAGATTTTTAAAATCTTTTTGAAAGTCGTCTGTTATGCTCACCAAGGCTGCCTTTATTTGCGCAATACAAATAAAACAGTAGCATTGTGAAATATTAGTACAATTTAAAATAACTGCTTTCCATTTTAATATACGTTTAGAATGTAATTTAATCCTGTGATACAAAGCTGAATTTTCAGCATCATTACTCCAGTATTCAGTGTCACATGATCCTTCAGAAATCATTCTAATTTGCCAATCTGTTGCTCAAGAAACATTTCTTATTATCAAAGCTGAACACAGCAGTGCTTTTTAATATGTTAGTGGAAACCATGATACAGTTTTTCAGGATTCTTTGATGATTACACGCATCCTTGATGATTAATTTCTTTATAAATAAAATCTTACTGAGCCCAAACTTTTGAAAAGCAGTATTATACCACAATATAGACCAACATAAAAAAAACAATTTCACTGGTTTAAATAATGAATATTTTGACTATTTAAATAATTGAATTATTTATGATAAAATAACACTTGCTCAACAACAGAGCTGCCTCTGCAAATTAATTTCTGCAAATATTCTTGTAAAGACATTTGTTTAACTCTGAGAAACTATTACAGTCTCAATAGTACTTGAGAGAGAGAGAGTGTGTGGGGGTGGCAGTTTCCATAGCTGGCTAATAAGGTGCATATGTAATAGACCACACACACACACACACACACACACCTTTGGAGCTGACAGGGGAATTGCTGCTGGAGGTGAATTCGGCAGAGCTGGGCCGGTGGCCTATAGACGGGGGCACATATCACATATAAGCGCATAAAGAAATAAAGCGAGGCTGTCGAGGCAACACGTATTGATTTAGTTAATTCTCTTACCTGTGTTTCCATGGACACCGCTCCCAAAGCCAGCATCTGGGGAATGATGGCGCAAGTCTTCCTCTGAGACCAAACCTGCAAATAAGAGTGTCGCCCAACAATGAGGCACTGAATATATCAGTATATACACAGCAGTCTTAGTTCATCCCTCTTTCAACATGTCATAAAGACATTTGATTAATTAGTACCACTAATTATAATTATCTTTATTTCACACAATTCAGTTTCACTTTTAAAGATGCTCTCCTAAGGACAGTGTCATTATGGGACACGATGGGCCTTTGGCTACTGCAGTCTTCCTGTGTGCGTCTGTACGAACATGACTGCTTGTTTACGCAGTGCAGTGGATATCTGAGAAAGCTTGAAGCACTTGAAAATAAACATTCATTTAGAACGAACGCTTTGTTATTATGCTGACAGGGACTTGATGAAATGAGCTTCGGGCTTTTTGGCTGGGAGGTGAGAGTCACTGAGAGGGTCAGTGGTGTTTAAAGCTGAAGCCCTTAGTGTACATGGTGGTACATTGCACATTATAAGTAGAAAGGTTGAGTGAGTAGGTAGGGCCATTAACCGTGAACACCCACCATAATTTAACCTTATGACTAGAAATCAGTTAAAAAAACTTGGCTAGCGGGATGCCGCTTTAAGCTCTATCCATGGCCTGCTATTGATTACCAAAGGAAAACTATTTCCACTCATCCCTCAAATTGAAAAATGAATGATGTTTATAGTAATACAACTGCAACTCCCAAAGCAGACATCTAGCTAGAAAGATAGTCCCATTTCAAAAGGATGATTTACAGAAGACAGCTTTACAGCTCTTAAATAAACTTTTTTACTGAAGAATCCAGAGTTTGAAAACAAAATAATAAACTTAGAATTTTTTAAGCTTTTGTTGTATATTGTACATATCTGTTCAAATTTGGGGCCAGTAAGTCTTTAAGAATTTAAAAGCTTTATTCAGCAGGGATGTATTAAAATGATTAAAAGGCATTAATAAACTAACAAAATACTATATTTCAAAGAAATGCTATTTTAAACTTTTCTATTCACCAAAGAATCCCGAAAAAATGTAACGACAAAAACATTAAGCAGAACAACTGTTTTCAACATTTTTGATAACAGTAAATGTTTCCTGAGCAGGATCATTCTGAAGGATCATGTGACACTGAAGACTGGAGTAATGGCTGCTGACAATTCAGCTTTGCCATCACAGGAATACAATTTTATTTGAAAATATAATTAATTAGAAAAGTTATTTTAAATTGTAATAATATTTCTCAATCAATATGCTTTTGCTGAGCAAATATCAACTGATCAATAGAATATAAATAAATTTAAGAGACTTGTGTAAAAAAAATTGGCAAAATTCTTACCAACTGCAAACTATTGAACAGAAGCATATAACTATGTGTATATATATATATATATATATATATATATATATGTATATGCTAAGTATATTAGTCTAAATGTGTTGTATATTTCAAAACTGATTGAAATCTTCCTTATGAAATGGGACTATTTTCAGCTTACAGCAACAGAGCCAAAATGGGAAGTTTGCCCATAAATTAATGTTCCATCAACCTTTTTTCTCCCTCACATCATTCCAAATTACATTCTTTATTCTGCTGAACATAAAAAAAATGTTATTGTGAAAAATGTTTCAGTGTTTTTTTGTCCATACAATTAATGTAAATGAGTCCAATGCTATTTTGGATCCCCACTGACTTTCATAGTATAGACAAAAACAAAGTCATACAGGTTTAGAACAACAAAGGGTGAGAAAATTTGAATATTCATTTTTGGGTTAACTATCCCTTTGTGTTTAACCCAAAATATTCCTTTATTAGTGAAAACAAAGTCTGCTGCAATTTCAATACAATACAACACAAACCGATCAATCATAAAGTGCCTCTAAGGATGAGTAAATTTACTAGCGTACATGGCAGAATGAACATGGTCTGTCATTTGAGGCTCAAGGCTGCTGACATGTAGTCTACTAAACGACAATTTAGCGTTACCCTTTGGCCTGCGTCCCGGCCGCATGCTGGAGGACGGCGTGTAGCCTGGTGCATTGTGGGAGTTGCGGCTCAGTGGAGTTGAACAGGTGGCTCCTGGCTCTCGACCCCGCCACCGGATCAGTTCTTCGTACCCGTTCATGCTCTCACTACCACCCCCTACTGAGCGATAGCCCTCTCTGCCTCTGGACCCTCCACTGTCGTTCAACACTTCAAAAAAAAAATCAAGAGAAAAGGTCAGTGTCTGTGAGTGCATACAGAGCATGTGCAGTGCAAGCGCTGCTGCTGGGCTCCAGTGATGCTGTGGGCAGCTGCGTAAGAGAAGGTGTTGGGTCAAAAGCACAAGCATGTGTTAGTAAAATGAATCAACTCCAAAAAACACTTAAGCAGGACACCGGTGACAGTTTTAGACAGTTAAAGGAACGTTCCAGGTTCAATACAAGTCAAGCTGTATCAGCAGCATCTGTGACTCATACTCATGGTTTCCGTTATACTCCTACACTGGACATTTATGGGGCATGCAAAAATGTGAGATGCAAAGTTGTCAAAATCGTCTTATATTTAACATCCAAAAGTCACTGGACTTATAGGCTTTACATTGTCATGCAAGAGCTGAAAGATTGTACAACAACTTGAATGACAAGGTTGGCGAGTGATTCTATCATATCTTCTTAGGAATAGTCCACCCAAAAATGAACATTTTATCATCATGTACTCACCCTTTTATGTTGTTCCAAACCTGTATGAATTTTGTTCTACTGAAAACAAAAGGTATTTTGAAGAATGCTGGGTACTAACCAGTTTCTGGTCTCCACTGAATAGTATTTTTTACCAATTATGGAAGCCAGTTACTACCAGTTTTGGTTACCAACATTCTTCAAAATATCTTCTTTTGTGTTCAAACCTCATATAACATTAGGGTGAGTAAATTATGACAGAATTTTCTCTTTTTTGGGGGTGATCTATCCGTTTAAGTCTTTTGGCAATACTTTCGACATACAGTATAGCCAGAAGTGCCCATATCAACATACATTCGGGCGCAATCTCTTGCCCCACAGACATTACTGTAAACATGAACTTTGTTTGCTTTTACAAATTGAGTAACAAATAATATTCATTTTTTTAATGAACTGACATCATGCCACAGATGCTATCGACAGAGTTTAACTTGTCTTGAACCCGAAACATTCCTTTAAGCTTGACTGCTGTGGACAAACTAAAACACCAGCTGGAAATCTGGAGCTCCACGAGATTCTCTTTATTAGAGTCATGCTGAAAACGATCCCTCACATGATTTTTAAAAGGAAAATGTAGTTACTATATCTGCCTGAAAAATCATCAAGAGTAGTTCTACATAAATTTGGGGCTTTTAATGACTTTAAATGACATGAATAATAAGGGAAATGTTGCAAGCCAGAATCAAACATGCATTGTCTGTATTAACATCATGACTCGATGTACCAGAGTACATTTACATTGAGCAAAAAAAGAAGAACTGGTCCGCTATTGCTCAATGTATGAAAGTGCATGTGCATAATTTTTGAAGTCTTACAATTGCTAGGACACATTTCTCAATACTTAAGTCACTTTTTCTAAACTTGACAGTTCTCCACACCAACTTTCAGCTTGGCACAGCAGTTATTTACACATTCACTAAGCACTAAAACTAGCAAAACACTTCTCTCAAATCATCTCATTCTTCCATAACTAGCAAATATAATTCAATATACATCAATGTTTTAGTACTGTAGAAATATAGCAAACTGCTGTCTTTTTCAGTTTTGCATTCTGTCGGGTTTTGAACTTAGGTTTAATAAAGAATTTGTAAGCATGTGCAAAAATTGGTCTGTCTTCACTGTGTGAAGAGTTTTGTGCTGGTGGGGCTGGAGTGTGTGAGGGTTAATGTACAGACAGATACACAGACAAGGAGAGAGATGGGTCAATGGAAGAGAAGAAAATTTGATGGTTCAGAGATTAAAAAATGGTTACATTTATGATTAATGAAGAATGAAGCCCCCGAGGTTCCCTTTGAAGACTATTTTGGCAATGCAATATACACTTGGGAAAGTATTAGTGCTTGGAAAGCTGAGAAATTATAGACTGAAATTGGAAATTTACAATGGGATTAGTTCATTGAGTGGACGTCAGGAGGAAAAAGAGGTTGTAATTATAGTAACCCTGAAAAAAAAAGAGTCGCGTGGCGCACCCTAGTGGAAAAGATAGATAGCTAAAGCACAATAAAGCTAGTATACACCAACTAAAATGTGTTTGAATGAAAGTTTTAAAACTTTTTTTAGTGCAGACCTGAGGATGTTCAATTGGTGAGAAAGTTGTTTTTTCAACTCGTTTGGGAGCCAAGACTCCAAAGTCACTTAAATATGGGCATCTAGAATATGATTCGCATGGAGTCTAGTGCAATTCACGATCAATACTACAGCAATTTGGCCTAATTTACCATCACTTTCCCTGTTGGTGATGTCACTTATCTATTATATTATAATTTCCAAGTCAAAAATAATGCAGTTGAGATTTAAAGGCATAGTTCACACAAAAAGGCAGTCATCATTTACTTATCCTCATGTCATTCCAAACCTGTTTGACTTTCTTTCTTCTGTGGAACATAAAAGAAGATATTTTGAAGAATGTTGGTAACCAAAAAGTTTTCCATTTTATAAGAGGGAAAAAAAAAAGACGACGTTTCTCGAAATATCTTCTCTTATGTTCCACAGACAAGGAGAGTGAAATAACAGAATTGTCATTTTTTTTATTCAACTATTCCTTTAAATAATATTAGGATGGAATCAATCATGTGAGGGCTCAGTTCAGCCCTGTGACAGCAGCACTCACCTTGGCCGTTGGGGGCGGGTGAAAGTGTCGGGGACTGTATATGATTCTCCTCTGCAGAGTGATTGTTCATGGAGTCCAGACTGAGACGTGACTGTCTGGGGGGCAGCGGTGGAAGGGGAAGGGGTGTTGCGCTCTCGGGACAGTCTATACATGTGGGGATCTCCGGCAGAGGGATGTCTGGAGCGCTTCGGATTCTCTCGCGTGGAGCGTCAGTTCGTTCTCGTTGACTATCTTTCTTAGGTTTGATGAATTTCGCTATTGCTTTGGCTCCAGCCCAATGCCGGCTCCTGTGTTAGAGAAAAAAAAAGTCACAAAATATTCTCTTTGAATTAAAAGTTCATAGTAAAAAGAAATTAAACTTGACAAATAGGCCTAGAAGTACAGTCTATTCAGTCTTGATCAGTTAAGATTCCACAGATGGACTCACTTTTTAGGAGTCGGGTCGTAGAACTTATACTGGTCCATGATCTTCTCCTCTAATTTCTCCTTCTGTCGCCGTAAAGAATTCAGCTTATCACTGTAAAAGAAAACCATACAAATTAAAAGCACGGCATAAGGACATTTTGACCACAAGTTTCTTGATTAGTTTCCCCGACAGGTTTTCTTAGATACCCCCACACCTCAATCAAGTACTCCAGATAATAAATATATTAATTTGAAGTAGTTTTGAGACAGAATTAGCCTAAAAAAATTTTCCCCGTTCTATGATATATATCTGAAACAGACAATCGAATAGGCGGGGACTTGTTTCTATGTAGCAGTTGTTGACTGGATGATGGAAGATATGAATGTGCCAATCGTAAGAAAGGTCCAGTTATGACATTGATGAAACAGTATGAGGTCGAAATTTTTTTTAGGAAAAATAAAATAAACAAACATACCTGCACAGATGAATCATTCACAATAAGATTACTTACACGCATTTAGAAAATAGACCCAAAATTAAACTGAAATCTCAAAGTATGACATTCATCACAAAAAGCTATTTTAATCAACTAATATTTTCATTTGTAATTTCTGTTTTATAGCTTCAACAAAGCAAGATCATACATTTTACTAGGATCATATACCGAGTACCGGGGTTAGAAATCATTGATTAAAAATGATATGATGACACACTGCTCACATGTATTGTTTCTGTTCTTCGTGGTAAAGTTCTTTGCTCTCCATGGTTCTCTCCAGCAGGGTCTGATTTTGCTGGCTGAGCATCTGGATCTGACTGAGAAGATGATGGTTTTCCTCTTCCAAGTTTCCTTTCAAACGGGTTAGCAGCTAAATTGAGAGAAAGAAAGATATCTTAGCACTAGCTGCTAAAAATAATCCATTTCAAGGCCTGGGATCAATATCTAGTCTCGTCTGTGATGGTATAATACATCACAGGCATAATAGTCTTGGGTTCTCCGAAGAAGCAGATTGTGTATCTAGTTTATAAGGTCTCTCTCACCTCACAGTGGTTGTCCAGTTTTGTCATTGAGATGTCCAGGCCTTGATGCTGCTCTTTCAGTTGGTCGTAACGCGCCTGCCAGCGATTCAGTTCCAGCTGGGACTCATTCAGAGAGGTCTTCAGTTCTTTGGTCTGCAGTTGCAGGCTGTCATACTCCTGCCTCAGCTGCATGTGTGGCTGTGTCAGCCTGGAGGTACATAATCAGAGGCTTAGATAGTATCATTTTATGTATTTAATATATTATAACATTTGACCTCAATTGAATGTGTTGCTTATTTTACCTAAATAATGTGTTTAAAATACAAAGGGTACAACGGGGCTAAAGGCACACCTTAATTTGAGAGCTTTCTGACCCTGCATAGACAGCAACGGAACTACCACGTTCAAGGCCCAGAAATGTAGTTAGGACATCATTAAAATAGTTTTCTTTGCACATAAAAAGTATTCTCGTAGTTTAAATTACGGTTGAACCACTGCTGTCACATGGACTATTTTAACTACGTCCTTGCTACCTTTCTGAGCCTTGATCGTGTCAGTTCCCTTTGCTGTCTATAGAGGGTCGGAAAGCTCTCGGATTTCATCAAAAATATCTGAATTTGTGTTCCGAAGATGAACGAAGGTCTCACGGGTTTGGAACGATATGAGGGTGAGTAATTAATGACAGAATTTTCATTTTTGGGTGAACTATCCCTTTGAGAAAAAGGCACTTTTCACTACTCCCATAGATGCATAATTGTAGATTTTTATTTTTTTATTGAACATTGATGGAGCAACAGATTTTGTGTGAAAATAAACCATAAATGGGGTTTGTTTCACTTAAAAATATTACGAATGTATGAGGTGGCAAGGTGGGCCACACGAGATAACATTTATACAAATACTTCAGCTAATGTATTATGTTTTGTATAATACATGCTGAAAAAAAATCACTTTAGCAAAGTTCGTACTATTTTCTCTTTACTTTAATAAATAAAATAAAATATTTTTGTTCAATCAATAGACTGTCATTAAAATATGGTCATTTTGAAAATGACAGCAACACTCAATTAAATAAAACAGTAAAGATTCTAAATGTATTGAAGAAGATCTCAATTTAATATAGCTTCACAGTATTAATATACATCAGATATTTCATTTTATGATATATATATATATATATATATATATATGTTTTCAAATGCACCATCTACCTCAATGAGCCTTTGTACCCATTAGTTTAAAAAATAATTATGTGTATGTGCATATTATATTTTATAACAAATGAACAATGCCAATAATAAAATAAAATTAACTGTGATGATGATATAGTAACTGAAATACCGTGCATCCACAAAAGTTACTACTGCTCTAGTGTTGTAGTCTATTCCAGCCAGCAGAGGGCAGTACATATTTAGCGTAAATCCTTCACCTCAACCTCATGAATGTCTTCAACTTAAAACTGACTACCCAGTGTGTTTTGTTGATAAAAACAGTCTCTAACCTGTCTACTTCTTCTCTCAAACTGCGGTTCTCCCCCAGGATAAGAGTGTTCTTGTGAATTTCCTCTCCCAGACTCTCTCTGTCCCTGTGTAGAGACGCCTCCAGTGCCTCCATAGCGTCCTTCTGCTTCAGGAGAACCGTGTAGCTGTTCAACACAAACACACATACAGTGATTCCAACTAAACTTTTCTCTAAAACACATTTAAGTCAAATGATTCAGGAGCATAAGGAAGCACATTCTGATTAAAACTCATGTAGAGCAGGATTTCCCCACTGATCTTCCAGGAAGTGTCATTGTCAATGAAAATGAGGCTGACCAGCAAGCAGTACAGCCAACAAAACACTGAAAATGTCTTTCCAAATCATTTCTAGTAAAAAAAACCCAAAAACATTTTAACAACTAGACATGGCCTAGGACCTCAAGAAGACAGTATGACCAATGTATTGTACATCTATCCATCACAGCCTCATTTTCATTTCCATCAAATTAAAGATGGCATATATCTTGACCAACGTCCATTGGGGGTTTACATTCACAATTCCCCAGGAGCTTATGATGGAACTGACAGTGGCAAATTGGTTGAAAGTCTCTTCACATCCCGATAGCAATCATTAAGTTAAGTTAAGGTCTAAATGTATTTGTCTGTATTTATATATTCTGTTCAGTCCGAGCATTTTAATATGCTTCCCTACCTGCCTGTCAACATATGTATTTGCATACCTCTGTGCATCGGGTTCGCACAGACAGGATATATCATCAGCGTGTTCCCGCACGCTGTGCAGACAGAGGGAGAATGACAGACAAACATCAACAACCCGATCTTCCTTCCTGGTATTGTAGTACTTTTAAAGTTTTCTCACCGCTGAATGACACATGATGTAGCCCAGCAGTTAATCCAGTCCTCGCGCCAGCTCGTTAGAAGTGAGCTGCGTGCATGAACTGTGTTCCGATCGATATGATCCCTACACAGTTTTCATTGCTCCCTATACTCCCTGAGCGGGGGAAATCCGTTGAAGTTTACTTCACTTCGGAACATGGGCTGGAATTGGGAAACACTGATGTAGCCTATTGTAATAATGCTGTTCTGTCTGTGAGCGTAAATGCATTCAGGGGGCGTGGCTTTGGACGGCGATTGCAGGGAGGGTGGGACATTCACTTTCAGTGCTATCAGGCTAAAGTTAGCATTTTCCAATATCTCCTACTGCACCTTTAACTCTATTTTGGTAAAGGATGTCACAGCTACCAACTGCCTTTGCTGAAGTCTTGCTGTCTTTTGTTAGAGGTCTGTCACATTTACCTATTAAAAATGGAAGATGGGTGTCAGACTAAAGGACTGCCTCTGACATTTTTCTCCGATTCCCTGTCACGAACTGCAACACCCATTTTGGCAGCAAATCAATCTGAAGCTCAGTGAATTGAAAACAGGAATACCAAACAACCAACAAACTATTGCCTGAATTAAGATGTAATGTTATAGTATGTTTATTTCGTCTTCAGCGAGAATAAACAAATATGGTTACAAAATATATATTTTGTCATCATTTACTCACTTTCATGTTGTTCCAAAACTGTTTGTCTTTCTTTCTTGGAAAATACCATGAAAGTCAGAGGCATCCAATGATGTTTTGTCATACAGGTTTACAAGAGAGTGAATGCTGACAGTTTTTTTTTCTTCTGTAAACTATTTCTTTAACCCTATAAAGCCTACTACATCATATTTGATATACAAATTTCTGAGGCCTCTAAATTATAAACTTGATCAAAACTTTGCTGAAAAATCTATGTACACAATCTGCTACAAGATTTCTGTCATCTGATTAATAGTTTGTACTTTATCAAGAAAAAGGCACCCCCCAGACGCAGTTCATTACTCTATTGTTACACAACCTCCTTAGGCAGACAGAAAGATATATAAGCTGCCTCCTATGGAAGGGGTCAATAACTCAACAAAGGTCACCTACTGTGTCAACTACTACAGAAACAAAGGCTAAATATGAAGGATTCTTATTGGATATATTCATTATTCATTTTGGCAATGCCACCTGATAATGGCATACTTCTTAAAGGGATAGTTCACCCAAAAATTCTGTCATTAATTACTCATCCTCATGTCGTTACAAATCCATAAGACCTTCATTCATCTTCAGAACACAAATTAAGATATTTTTGATGAAAACGACACGTGGGTGAGTAATTAATAACAGAATTTTCATTTTTGGGTGAACTATCCCTTTTAAAGTAGTAGGTGATATACAATATATTATATTCACATATAGGCATAATGCCATCATTTTCTGAAGTAGAGCTGGATGGCAGATGAATGCATATTTAGAGGACTGATGGAGTTGGAAAGGAACTGACTTGCTCTCCAGTGCGCGGTGTTCTCGCTCCAGAGCTCTCTGGTTGCCCTTCAGTTCTGTGTGTCGGGTCATGAGCTGCTCATACTCAGTCGCTTGCCTTTCATGCACAGCAAGCAGGCGCTCGTGGTCCTGTGTGACCCGGTCGCGGGCCGCACACGCCTCCTCGTGCTGTTTCTGAAGAGACTCGGCCTCTGACTCCAGAGTTTGCAGCTGAGCCTGTAAAGCTCCGTACTGAGCCATGAGAGAGGAGCTCTGGGAGCTTAGTGTCGAATTTTCCACCTGAACACAGAATAAAAGTGAAAATTGGACATTTATTGATTCTGTTTTGTATATTTTAAGCTTTCATAATCTCACATCCTACATAAAAAAATGAAATTATGGTAAAAAGGTTATTTAACTCTTCCGATTCTCCAATAAAATATATAAAATAAAATAACATTATTTAACTCTTTCTCTATTCTATTCTATTCTGTTCTATTATAAAATGAAATAAAATAGTAGTAGTAGTATATTTTTATTTAATGCCATGTCAGAATCTGAGGCTATTTTCATGGCAAAAACATGATTGGGTATAAAAAGAGCCTCTCAGAGTGACAGTGTCT